CAGGCAACTAACGGTTTGAGTAGCCGGTTCCTGATAATGACACGCAACTAACGGTTTAAGTATCCGGTTCTTGATAATGACACGCAACTAATGGTTTGAGTAGCCGGTTCCTGATAATGACACGCAACTAACCGTTTGAGTAGCCGGTTCCTGATAATGACAGGCAACTAACGGTTTGAGTAGCCGGTTCTTGATAATAACACGCAACTAACGGTTGAAGTAACAAATTCCTGAAAAAGAAAGAAAAAAATAACAGCAAACATGAAGAGGAAAAAAAAAAAAATTGTATATTTGTGTTCTTCAATACAACACAATACAGTTTCCCTCCTCCCCCCCCCCCCCCCCCCCCCCAATACAACCGACCCCATACGTAACAAATGGATGCGTTTGGATGACCTGCTTTGTTTCATGCATGACATTTTGCCTTGGCCATAATTATACTATGCATTAAATAACACCATTATTGTTCCACACGTTCATCTGGGTCCCACCCGATCCCCTTCCCCATCCTTAGTGTGTAGAAGACAGGACAAGAAATACAACTGGTCGTCTCATTCTTCCTGATATGGTATTGATAATCACACGCAAAATCCTTATTAATAGCAGCCAGGAGTTATCATCAACCAGATGGCGTTTCGCCGCCAGATATAGGACAATAAATGGTTGGGATAACTCTACGTCTCCCTTTCACAGTTACTATAACAGGTAATGAATATACAGTTAAACCTCGTTCGGGAGACGCTATGGTCTAACAGCTAGACGCTCGCCTCCGGAGTGGAAGATAGTGGGTTCAGCTTCTGGTGGAGCCGGACCTTTTTTTTAATGACCCTGACTTCCATGTCGACCTAGCCCTAATGTCCTGGAAAGTAAAAGCGGCTGGCGTGATGTAGACCAGTGTTCTGGGCAAAAACGACGCCCACTGAAAAAGTCTAGACGGGACACTTAGCTGCCTAATTAGGTAACGGGTTGAGGTAGGTAAGGTGTGTCTTTCATGATTGCAGGAAGCAATCTCTCAGAAACAACTCTCCAGATACGTATATACGACTTTGTAACTTCTAAGCAGCAGCAAATGTCGCATTAGCTTAAATTTGTAATTCTGTGACAGATATACTGCCAGATACAGTTGTTTTCTTGTCTGTGTTTGGTTAACTGTCAGGTGCAATGGTTAACTGTCAGGTGCAATGGTTAACTGTCAGGTCCAATGGTTAACTGTCAGGTGCAAAGGCTAACTGTCAGGTCCAATGGGTAACTGTCAGGTGCAAGGGTTAACTGTCGGGTGCAATGGTTAACTGTCAGGTGCAATGGTTAACTGTCGGGTGCAATGATTAACTGTCAGGTGCAATTGTTAACTGTCAGGTGCAATGGTTAACTGTCAGGTTCAATGGTTAACTGTCAGGATCAATGGTTAACTGTCAGTTGCAATGGTTAACTGTCGGGTGCAATGGCTAACTGTCAGGTGCAATGGTTAACTGTCAGGTTGAATGGTTAACTGTCAGGTGCAATGGTTAACTGTCGGGTGCAATGGTAAACTGTCAGGTGCAATGGTTAACTGTCAGGTTCAATGGTTAGCTGTCAGGTGCAATGGTTAACTGTCAGGTGCAATAGTTAACTGTCAGGTTCAATGGTTAACTGTCGGATGCAATGGGTAACTGTCAGGTGCAATGGTTAACTGTCAGGTGCAATGGGTAACTGTCAGGTGCAATAGTTAACTGTCAGCTGCAATGGTTAACTGTCAGATGCAATGGTTAACTGTCAGGTGCAATGGTTAACTGTCAGGTGCAATGGTTAACTGTCAGGTGCAATGGTTAACTGTCAGGTGCAATGGGTAACTGTGAGGCGCACTTCGACACTCCCTGCTTTATGTGGCTGCGGGTGTAAACGTGATCACCCACCGAGTGCCGACTGGTTTATAAAATGTAGGTCCAGCCCTATATGCCCATTACGGCTTAATGCTCGGAAAAGGGTTCCTTTACATTTTACTTTAAAACCTCGTTCGCTTAAGGCAAACATTCCGTGAACATGAACAAAATTGTGGTCCTAGTAGAGATATACGAAGTATTATTCATCTGTTAGTTTACTGCTAGTACCAATTTTTGTAACACGAACTGTTCGTTCTTCGGTCAGTTGGAGTTCGTGTTAACTACGCCTTCGTGTCCACAGACCTCAGCTGGTCTGTAGGAGTCGCGTTACATGTACAGGATGCGCGTTACATGTACAGGATGCGCGTTACATGTACAGGATGCGCTGATTGCGTAAACACGGAAAGTTCGTTTTTGTACGTCTTGTATATAAATCGTTGACATTACTAAAGAGATCAATGAGGGAGTAAAAGAGACACTGCAACAAATAAATTTGAGTTAACAGAAGCTATACAACTAGCAAAAGACAGGAAACTTTATCTGACTCTTTTCTGTGACACTTTATGTCATAATCAAAGCATAAAGCAAAAAGAAAAAAGAGGAGGAGGAGGAGGAGGAGGAGAAGAAGAAGAAGAAGAAGAAGAAGAAGAAGAAGAAGAAGAAGAAGAAGAAGAAGAAGAAGAAGAAGAAGAAGAAGAAGAAGAAGAAGAAGAAGGAGAAGGAGAAGAAGAAGAAGAAGAAGAAGGAGAAGAAGAAGAAGAAGATGAAGAAGAAGAAGAAGAAGTAAAAGAAGGAAAAGAAGAAGAAGAGAATGTGGAGAATGCCTTAGTGAATCTGTAAATATTATCGTAGAAGAAATAAGTAGTGGTGATCAATAGGCAGAATAATAGCATTAGTAATAATAATAATAATACAACTACCATTACTTCCTCTATCCCTTTTGCTATGTAGGCAGAGAGATGAAAATCACGTGCCGACTGGCGTAGGCGTTCATGCATCTCCTCAGTTCTCTGTCTCCTTATCTCTGGACCAGTTCCACCGTTGATATCCCTCCATGCCACCGTCACATTGCATCCGTCATCGTCCCTCTTGGTATGCCTCTCCCTCTTCTACCATTGATCTGCCCCCTCGTTACTACATTCTCCATAGCCACCCACAACCCCCCCCCCCCAACCTCACCCCCCCCCCCCTTTTTTTTTTCTTCATCGCATTACCAAAGAACAGTTCTTGTCTTTTCCTTATTGCTGTATATATTGATCTGCTTTCATTAGCTTCCTTCAAACAATCCTCGCTAGTTATTTTGGCAGTCCAAGGGATTTTTAACATACATCAGAAAAATCGCATCTCCGTGGCATCCAAGGCCTTTCTAATTTGTGCAACCATATTCTATGATTCTCTACCATACAACAATATAGAGAGGGACCTATTGCACAATAAGTTTTTCATTACGTGAAATGCAGCATAAGTCTGATCGATATGCAACATTTATAAAAGACGTGAAGGGCGTAAACAGCCTTAATGGGTGAGCAATGTGGGGCGGGACTAACACCTGCATCAAATAATATCCTCTGTGATCATGCATTTGGAAAAGCCCTGGAAATATAATCAATTGCGTGTTTATCGATTAACAAAGGTAATAAGCAGTAGCTTCTTCTCCTTTATTTGGAAATGGAGGATAGACCTTCAACCAACTCACGCCAAGTCAACAGTTCTTTTGCTATCGTATGTAGCTCATCCAATGTCCTTCCCCACATCCTTGTTTTTTAAATGTAACTGTCTACTTCTGTTTCATTTTGTTTATGGTCTCCCCTTTTTTATGCATCGCTTGTTTCCGCTGTAAAGCTCTTTTAGTTATATTTTTCTTATATTTTCTCCTATCCATCGTCAGCATCTTTTCTTCACCTTTTTATTCACTTATTTTTTTAAAAATAGTTCTCTCAATACTTTACATTGGTGACTGGGTCATACCTTTGAATTCCCTCTGTTCTGCACACGCACCAGTTAATGAATGTTCGTAGTTTAATAGTTGTTCTCAATGTGGGCACTCTCTTTCTGATTTTCTAACCCCTCGCTATGTGCGGTGCTATTCTCGGAAATCTGTTCTCAGTTATTGGAATATGTATCTTCCTTTTTTCTGTCATAATCCTTAATATGGCTAAAATATTGTATTAGATCGTTGTTTGTTATTTCTGCCCCGCCCCCCCCCCCCCTTTTTTTTTTTGTTGCCTCAAGTTTCCACTAAAACAAATGCTTATCACTTTTTATGGAGGTGTAGGTAGGGTGCTGGGGGTGGGGGGGGGGGGGGGCTGAGAAATCAAGGCATGGATAGAGCTGCCGCCACGGACTGTGGCTTTATTTTGTTGCTGCAGACGCACAGAAAATCTACAGCCTTTTCCAGGAGCGTCGCAAGATCCGGTGGTACCCGGTGCGAAAGATTTTCTCCTTTCCTCCCCTTTCCCACTCCACCTTTCTTCCCACTTTACATCGAAACTATTAAAAGAATGAAAAATAAGATACACACAGTTTGGTCACTCGCCTCCTACATCAGCGAGGATGGCACCTGGGGCGCCCCTCCCCTTTGCCTCCCTCTATCATACGTCTCTTCTAGTGACATATGATAGAGGGGTGAAAAGCCTTCTGAAGATTCTAATTTGGTTCGCATGTTAAAGTCTAGAAAATCGACTTCATAGCACCTAATGTTTTGTATCCCACATAGCTCGACCTCTCTCTGCAGAACGGCTAGCAGCGTGCCGAGAGCCCTACACATAGAACGAGCTCCGTAGCTCCGGCGACGATCCCCAGAGATCTCCGTAAAAATCGCACTCATTAACTGAAAGGGCACAGCTATGAAGCGAACCCCGCAGCCTGCAGAGAGAGAGGCAAACGACTTGAACACTTTGCCACAGAGACCCTCGTTCTCATGTATGATAGCCGTGCCTTCTTAACGGTTCAGCCAACTGTTCCTCAATACGTGTCATCTTATATTGTCTTGAATTAAAATGTTCCCCTGACTCGTAATTTTTTTTTTCTCTCCAGATATTGCCAAAATTCCTGCCACATTTGAAAAATCCGTGTTTCTATGAATACACAAACACTAAACAGAAAACTCTGAAGTGCCTACCATATTTTTATATTATCGGAATGGATAAAAGTGGTTCCACGGATCTCCATAATCGATTATCTCAACACCCTTTTGTAATGGGAAATAAGGGAAGTTTAGGAAAGGAAACCTCGTTTTGGTCGTGGCTCAGATATGGTGAGTATGGTTGGCGAACAGTGTTAGAATGAAAATAATCAGATTAACTTGCTAACCTACGTTTGGGATGATAGGGTAAATATTTTGGTATCGCTACTGTCCAAAACTGTTTGGTTAAATAGATCATCATGATCTATGGAAAACGGTGCCGCAACAAGTGACAAAGGGATCTGGCTGACATTCAACTCTACAAGGAAGGATAAGACACACATGATCAGGCTGCTGTTGATTACCGTGGAAACTGGAAGTCTGCGCTAGCTGCTGAAGATGGGGACAGAGTGTTTATTGGAATGTCCTTAATGCAGTGATGTCGGTTCTTAGTTGAACTGAGCTTAGTGAAAGGTCGGTTTGTTTTCATTTTCTAAAATCCACTGTACAGTTCAGGGTGTGGTTTCTGGAAAAATAGACATGAATTGACTATCACAACAATGGACAGATGATATGACTGACACCCCGGGACACGAAAGTTCAAAAGTTGAAATTGAAATTGTGTAGACTTTATAGCACCCTCACTGTACATTAGGTATTTTCATGTGGGCAAAATCCTCTGGCGCAGAGTACACTGTAAGGGACCTTTACTGATTATTCCTATGAGATGTTGGTTGCGGTCTCCTGTCTTGACCATGAAAACGGTAAAGACAAATAGGTAAATATGAAGATGATTTAACCACATGAAGTTAAGGACAGGAACACAGACCTGATCCATGGCTCAGGTGAACACGAAAGATGGCAAACCATGACCACATATTCATAATGAAATGGTACGTAGTGGTGAGGGTGAGGATCATAACAAAGGACCCTATTCCAAACCTTCATGCGTGTATTGGACATATAGGGCTAGACCTATATTTTATAGATCGATCGGCACTCAGTGGGTGATATCGTCAACATCACGCCGGCCTCCTTTACTTCATACGACTGTACCTTGTACCCATTTAAGGCTAGGTCGACCTGGGAGTCGAGATCATTTCTGAAAAAGTGCGGCTCCGTTAGTTTTATTCTCCTATACTGTTTAGGTTTATTCTCCTGTACTTTTTAGGTTTATTCTCCTGTACTATTTAGGTTTATTACCCTGTACTATTTAGGTTTATTAAACTGTACTATTTCGGTTTATTCTCCTGTACTATTTAGGTTTATTACCCTGTACTATTTAGGTTTATTATACTGTACTATTTAGGTTTATTCTCCTGTACTATTTAGGTTTATTCTCCTGTACTATTTAGGTTTATTCTCTTGTACTATTTAGGTTTATAACCCTGTACTATTTAGGTTTATTATCCTGTACTATTAAGGTTTATTACCCTGTACTATTTAGGTTTATTACCCTGTACTATTTAGGTTTATTACCCTGTACTATTTAGGTTTATTACCCTGTACTATTTAGGTTTATTACCCTGTACTATTTAGGTTTATTCTCCTGTACTGTTTAGGTTTATTGTCCTGTACTAATAGGTTTATACAACAAGAAGCTGATGGAGAGGAAGCTTTACCTGGACGACTTTCTGGACATGTTTGCGGAGACGGCTCATCTGATAGAGGAAACCAACGTCACAGCCATCATCACAGGTAACAGTACTGGATGTTGCTTCGCTGATGCAGTCATAAACACAACTTAACAATACATTAATAATGTGACCACACTATCACTATCTGTGTAAATGTATGATAAAACATGTGTGACCCCGTATAACACAATGTCTGCAATTGTATATTGTACTACAACAGCTGCTGCTGCTGCAGCTGCTGCTTTTGCTCCTCCTCTTCCTTCTTCAACTTAATTTTTCTTCTTCGTGAGTGAAGTTCAACCACCAGGACCATCAGTATGGAAACTCTTCGCTGGCTGCTGAAGATGAGGATGGTGCATGCAAGGGAATGCCTCCAGTGCTGTGATGTCAATTCTGGACTCAACTCAAGTTCAACCCCACCAGAACCACACAATGAGAGAAAAACACCCGATGACACAAAGTGCCACCATTCGGATGTGAACTCCACAAGTGCAAGTCCCAAAACCCCTTTCAACTGCTAAGTTACTTTAGAACCCCCATCGACTGCCGGGGTGGGTATTTTTAATTACCCCCACACACACACACGCACGCACGCACACACACACATGCACGCACGCATGCACGCGCACACACACACACACACACACACACACACACACACACACACTTTTATGCGGTTGCTTTAAAATGACAATCTTTTATTCTAAATACCAAAATATATTCCACTCTCTGAACGCGGAGTCACTCGCAGTAACACCAGTTTGTTTAATATTGTACTTACTGCATAACAAAGAACGATGAAACAGCATTTTCCACTTGTTCGGCGTACTTGGCAAATGATGCCAGTCTTATATGAATATAAAATAATTTACCCTAGTTTGGTGTTGGAAATCAAAACCATGATGTCATTAATTCCCACGATAGTTGCTTCTACCAACTGTAGACAGTTGGCTTGGATAGCCATCATTGATTATACTTCTTAAAGAACATGCCATGTGGCGCTGGTAGCCAGGTGGCACTGTTAGCCAGGTGGCACTGGTAGCCTTGTCTATCCACAATCTTCTGCCTCATGTACCTTCAGTCAACTCTGACACAGATGATCCTCCATGCCATGATGTCAAACTGTCCAGCCTCTGTTCTCTCGATCTCTCCCTTTGCCTCTCTTCCCCTCCAGTTTTCACACTGTCAGGAGGTACTCCAGTCTCCTTATTTCTGTGATTATATCTACTATTATTTTTGATGTTGGTGATCAGTTCTCATCGTGAGTCAGTTTCTTTCAAGACATCTTCATTTCTGTTTTTATCTGTCCAGAGTATTCTCATCATTCGTCTAAAAAACCACATCTCCGCAGCTTTAAAATAATTTTCTAACCTAGCGACCAGCTGTCCATGATTCACTTCTGTATATCAGAATAAAATTTATATAGCTTTTAACAGTTATCTTTCTTGTCTCAGTGGGCAAAGAAAGATTGTTTAGAAAAGTCTTCAGTTTGTAAAATGATGGTTACATAAGTCAAAAAAAACTTTCAAAAGTTGTTTGTACCACAAATGTAAATAACTGATCTCAACTTCTGTTGTTATGAAAGCAAAAATGACATTTACAAAATGAATGGCTCTAGTTTTCCAAATATGTGCTACTAATTTCATTTATACATAGATATATGACGCGATTGCATAATTTTGCTATTAATGTTGACCAGTATTATTTATGTTATATTTGACAAAGAGCACTGAAACCCAGCGACTAAGGTACAACGAACTCTTCCCCCTCCAACCCCCCCCCCCCCCCAAATAATTAAGGGGTGGTGGGTGGGGGGGGGGGGGGGGGGGTAACAACGCTACAGTCCCCAAAAATTTAAGAGTGTAAGCTCCCCCCCCCCCCCCTCCCACGGCACTCATTTACAGTTTTTGCTTATATATGTCACTCTTTCAAGAATAGATGCCTCCGAAAGCTATTAAATGTTCACTGGTCGGACTTTAGGTCCAATACATCTATAAGACAGGAAACAAAACAAAAATATGTGTCTGATTTTATTAGAATGCGTCGCTGGAATTACATCAGTCACGTACTCAGAATGGACATACAGAGACTTCCCCACTAAGCCTTCATATGGTCACCAGAGGGTAAAAGAAAACAGGGAAGACCAAAAGAAACTCTCCGTAGAACCATCACAAGGGAGAGCTCAACCATAGGTCTCAGTCGCACTCAAGACCTACATCAAGTGGCAACGAACCGACAGACGTGGAAAGCTATGACCTCTGCCCTATGCGCCATCTTTGGCACAAGAGGAATAACTAACTAACTAACACCATTATCATAAGTATTAAGCACTTACAAAAAGACTTTGCTGCCCCCCCCCCCCCACCCCCGCGGCTAAACCCCTAAATTAAAGGAAGGGCCCCCTTTCTGTGGCAGGTATTGTTATGTATGCTTTCACCTATCATAATAACTTGCAGATTATGTATTTCAGGGGATGCTACACCCATGGACTTGTGGGATTTCCGATCCTGGCCAAGCATACCTCAAAATTTTGGGAAAGATGAGCCGGAAGTTCTCACCCCACATCTGCTAAAGTACATTCACAGGGAGCGGCCGCCAAAGTTTCTCATTCAGTATAGAGAACCAATCGAAAGGTAATGAATGGAAAGCCGAGTTGGTAGTTTTAAATGGTTGCTAACTGAGTTGCTGCTTGTTAAATTGCTCCGTTGTCTGATTGGTTGATTAACTCATAAGTTAGTTGGCTTATATGTAGGTTATCAGTTTGTCTGGTATGAAAGTTGGTTCATTTGTAGATTATATGTTTGTTTGGTAATCTTGTTGGTTCATATGTAGATATGTTAGTGAATTGATAGGTTAGTTGGTTCATCTGTAGTTTACTTGTTTGTTTTGTAAACGCGTTGGTTCATATGTAGATATGTTAGTGAACTTAAAGGCTAGTTGGTTCATATGCAGATATTTAGTGAACTGATAGATTAATTCGTTTATGTGTAGATATTTTAGTGAACAGATAGGTTAATTGATTTATATGTAGGGTATTTAGTGAACTGATAGGTTAGTTGATTTATATGTAGATATTTTAGTGAACTGATAGATTAGTTGATTTATATATAGATATTTAGTGAACTGATGGAGGGAGAGAGAGGGAGAGTCTGTGGCTCATTAAATGTTAGTATATATATATATATATATATATATATATATATATATATATATATATATATATATATATATATATATATATATATATATATATATATATATATATATATATATATATATACTGTATACACCAGACCCCACACAATGAAAAATGCCAGGTAATAAATTTGCAATGCATTGTTTTTAGCCTTATAAATATTTAAAATAGGAAAAAAAAAAATGTTTTAGGTTAAATTACTTGCAATGGATCATTAATTTACTCTGCATAACTTTGTGTTGCAGATTATATTCAGATTATATATTTCTGGAATATGGAAAAACTCCAGAAGAATTTCATAACCACAGCCTCCAAGCCATTGACATGATGAACGCCTGTTTTGGAAACATCACTAGGAGGCAATGTTTTTTTAGCGACAATCTATACCAAAGTCTGCCAGTAAGAATGTACATTTAAAGTTAGTTGGTCATTCGCATATCCTGTACAGAATGTCCCAAACATTTCCCGAAATGTTTCAGCTGTTTTTAGTTTTGCTATCTTTCTTTGTCAATATTTCCTTTGTGCCCTGCTCATTGCAGTTTAACAAAAGATAGCTGAGCCAGGGCGTACTCGGTTGTATCGTATCTGTAAGGATATGAGGTCTTAAGCTTGATATTTCCATTTTCATGTTCTTTTCAGGTTTTATTAATATCTATAGAATAGTGTTTAAATGTCAGAATTGCTTTCATTACACACAGTTGCATCCTATTTGGCTCAGTCTCTCTATCTATCTAATCTATCTATCTATCTATCTGTCTGTCTGTCTGTCTGTCTGTCTGTCTGTCGGTCGGTCGGTGTGTTTGTCTGTCTGTCTGTCTGTCCAGAAGAGAGGTGTCTGCCAAAGCATCACACTAAGGCCGACAACTGCTCCAGAATGGACGATAATCACCTGGCCACTGACAGTCTGAAAATTCAATATGCTTCTTATCTGTCCAGTGCCTTCTCGACATTCTTCGTAAGGATTCTTGTCTGCAGCTTTCACATAATTTCTCACTAAACTGATAACTATCCATAATTTTTAAAGAGGAACTGGTTTTGAAAATCTTTACTTTACATTATAGTTAAACAGAACAAATAGATTTGCATTAAATATTCTTCATTTTGTGAAACTGTTGACTGGTCACCTTAGAAAACACATCGCTCTTAGAAGTGAAACAACCATTTTTGTATCCACTCAACAAGGGGAAAAAAGGAAAAGGGAAGTGGGGTTTGGGGGGAGGGGTGAAGAGACTAAATCCCAGTGAGTTCATGACTGAGATAAGAATGCGTTAGAAACAGCCCTAAGAAACCCCTTTGAGCTGCATAACACACTTATGTAAGGTGAAACGAGATTACCAGGCAACCTGTAGTCTCGTGTGAGCTGGTTGAGATTGATCCTGCATAATCTGAACATGAAGGAGAATTGGCTCATAAACAACATCCTGTTTAAAAAAAACATGTTAACCGTCATGATGAGCTGGGGGAGAATGGGGACAGAGAGTGCAGTTTCTGGTAAATGAGGCAGAGGTCAACCTCTGCAAACGTGGATAAAAGTAATTAAAGATGCATTGGCTATGAAAGCACATAGGGCTGGGGAATTGGCTAGAGAAAGAGAAACTTGCAGGCGTGTGGTGAAGAGAGCGACGTTCTGTAAAGGACATGCTGATAAATTGGGAATAGGTAATTAATAACAACCATTTCTTCCACAGGTGCGGATACATCTTGGTTGCTATTACATGTTCTTGCAGGAATGGTTGCATGTTTTTCCTAGGAGTAGTTTTTTAATAACAACGATGGACGAGTACCAGAACGATATGGAGAATACACTAAAGAAGGCTTTTAAATTCTTAGATTTGCGTGAGTTTTATATTGTTTTGTTCATAGTTTTTAAATATGTATAATTTGTTTATTTTACTTACTTTAACAGTCAGGGTTATGGCCTCAACATCCTAGGGGAAACAAAAACAGCTGGTAACGGAACATTCAAAAAAGCATTAAAGGCAAATAGGTAGACTTTGTTGCACTATATTTATTCTTTTAGTGTTCAGTCTCTTTATAAAGAGCAGCATTTCACAAACTCAGAGTTCATATAGAGTAGGAAACACCATAGCTCCAGTGACTATCACTAGGGATCTTCGTACCCATTGCCTTAAAACTGAATTCGCAACATTAAGATCGCAACATTAAGATCGCAACATTCAGATCGCAACATTCAGATCGCAACATTCAGATCGCAACATTCAGATCGCAACATTCAGATCGCAACATTCAGATCGCAACATTCAGATCGCAACATTCAGATCGCAACATTCAGATCGCAACATTCAGATCTCAAAGCAAAAAGCCCTACCCCGTTGGCCACAAAGACCCTTAGATGTGTTTATCCTAGAGAGAGTTTTGAAATGGAATGGCTGCAGGTCGACTCTTTTAGTGGCAGACAGCACAAGACGGACTTTCACACTTTGTAAGATGTCTAACGCAGAGAGCTAGAGAGAGAAGATGTCTAACGCAGAGAGCTAGAGAGAGAAGATGTCTAACGGAGAGAGCTAGAGAGAGAAGATGTCTAACGGAGAGAGCTAGAGAGAGAAGATGTCTAACGCAGAGAGCTAGAGAAAGAAGATGTCTAATGCAGAGAGCTAGAGAGAGAAGATGTCTAACGCAGAGAGCTAGAGAAAGAAGATGTCTAACGCAGAGAGCTAGAGAGAGAAGATGTCTAACGGAGAGAGCTAAAGAGAGAAGATGTCTAACGCAGAGAGCTAGAGAGAGAAGATGTCTAACGCAGAGAGCTAGAGAGAGAAGATGTCTAACGCAGAGAGCTAGAGAGAGAAGATGTCTAACGCAGAGAGCTAGAGAAAGAAGATGTCTAACGCAGAGAGCTAGAGAGAGAAGATGTCTAACGGAGAGAGCTAGAGAGAGAAGATGTCTAACGCAGAGAGCTAGAGAGAGAAGATGTCTAACGCAGAGAGCTAGAGAGAGAAGATGTCTGACGCAGAGAGCTAGAGAGAGAAGATGTCTAACAGCAGATGGCATGGAGAGAAAGAAGATGTCTAACGCAGAGAGCTAGAGAGAGAAGATGTCTAACGGAGAGAGCTAGAGAGAGAGAGATGTCTAACGCAGAGAGCTAGAGAGAGAAGATGTCTAACGCAGAGAGCTAGAGAGAGAAGATGTCTAACGCAGAGAGCTAGAGAAAGAAGATGTCTAACGCAGAGAGCTAGAGAAAGAAGATGTCTAATGCAGAGAGCTAGAGAGAGAAGATGTCTAATTCAGAGAGTTAAAGAGAAAAGATGTCTAACGCAGAGAGCTAGAGAAAGATGATGTCTAATGCAGAGAGCTAGAGAAAGAAGATGTCTAACACAGAGAGCTAGAGAAAGATGATGTCTAATGCAGAGAGCTAGAGAAAGAAGATGTCTAACACAGAGAGCTAGAGAGAGAAGATGTCTAATTCAGAGAGCTAGAGAAAGAAGATGTCTAACACAGAGAGCTAGAGAGAGAAGATGTCTAATTCAGAGAGTTAGAGAGAAAAGATGTCTGACGCAGAGAGCTAGAGAAAGACACATTAGCTTTAGTGTAATAGAGTACCAGCGTTTTTATGCAGATTTCGTTGAGAGACTGCAACTCCAGGATAGGATATTAGTCTTAGCAGACGCTTAGTGGTGGGCAGACATGGCTAACAGCACCACATGGCATGGACTGTAAGACACTGGATGGTGGGCAGACATGGTTAACAGCACCACATGGCATGGACTGTAAGACACTGGGTGGTGGGCAGACATGGCTAACAGCACCACATGACATGGACTGTAAGACACTGATTGGTGGGCAGACATGGCTAACAGCACCACATGGCATGGACTGTAAGACACTGGGTGGTGAGCAGACATGGCTAACAGCACCGCATGGCATGGACTGTAAGACACTGGGTGGTGGGCAGACATGGCTAACAGCACCACATGGCATGGACTGTAAGACACTGGGTGGTGGGCAGACATGGCTAACAGCACCGCATGGCATGGACTGTAAGACACTGGGTGGTGGGCAGACATGGCTAACAGCACCACATGGCATGGACTGTAAGACACTTGGTGGTGGGCAGACATGGCTAACAGCACCACATGGCATGGACTGTAAGACACTGGGTGGTGGGCAGACATGGCTAACAGCACCACATGGCATGGGCTGTAAGACACTCGGTGGTGGGCGGACATGGCTAACAGCACCACATGGCATGGACTGTAGGGAAACAACAGTCTGCCTTTAAATGAATCAGACCTCTAAATCAGAAGTGCACACAAAACTCAAATAAGCACGCTTCTCAGGCAGATGCCCTGAAACTGTCTCAACCTTCAGGATAAGTAACTTAGGTAAAAGCTACTTTGGACTGAAATAGTTAAATCTGCATTTAATTTTTTTTTGAAATTTTAAAGGCAAAACATGTTTCTTTCTGCTCGTAGCTTCTTTACCTGACTCCAAGATGGCTGAAATAATCAACCAGACACGGCGCCACGTCACCAGAAACAAACAGGGAGTAGTGCTTCCCGAAACGGTGAAAGTTCTGCGCCAGTTCTATGATAACTGCAACAAGGACACAGCACAACTGTTGAACGATGACCGGTTTTTGTGGCTGGGCCACTATTTGTGATATTTGTATTCATTATTTATTATTTGGTTTTGGCATATTTTCTTCACATTTATTATTATTGCATTTTGTTTTGTTATGATCAAGTATAAGTAAACTAAAGGACCCTTTTCCTTGCCATTAAACAAGTTGGGCATATAAGGTGGGTCCTATATTTTGTAAACCAATAGGCATTCCATGGGTGATTCGGTCAACATCTCGCCGACTGCCTTCATTTTCCAAGACTTTATCTGGTTCACATTTAAGACTGGATCGACTTGGGAGCCAAGGCCATTTTTTTCTTATAAAGGCTCCAGCTCTGTGTCTGAACCCACGACCCTCAGATCTCCGGATGAATGCATAGCCGCTACAGAACAATGGTTCCCTTTGTTATTATTATTATTATTTTTATTTGGTATTTTCATCATGTTTCTTACTCTCATCATCATCATCATCATCATCAACATCATGATCTTCATTATCAACATCATCATGATCGTCATCTCTGTTATTATTAACATTGCTTATTAATTCAGTAATGTTTTTCCTGTGTTCAATTATCTTCATATTGAAGGTTAATGTTAATGTGCAGAAAAGGCAAGCAATAAAATGGATGTTCTAGATGCCATTGTATTTTTAAAGTGAAAGAAAAATAAATCATCAAAATTGTTCGATTATTAAATGTTCCTATTCAGTTACCGGACAAGAAAAATCTACGCATGTATCTGTGAATTACACTTATACTTGTTCTTAGTGACTTTACTTATCTGAACAACTGGACGTAAACGATCAATATATTTTGGACGTATTATAAAGAGGAGTGAACTCGAGAACCTAGTAACAACTGGCAAGATTGATGGAAAGAGAGCAAGAGGAAGTCAAAAAAAAAAGACAGATACCTGGATGGCCTGACCTTCTGATCATGTGAGATGGTGAAACATGACAAGCCTACGCTGGCCAGTTCGGCACATGATGATGATGACTTTCCATTGCTTGACCAGTAATGATCATTTAATATATGCACCCCTTTTTATTAGAAAGATGTCAATCCAAATGCCTGTTAACTGCAATGATGTCAATCCAAACATCTGTTGACTTGAATGATGTCAATCCAGACGAGAAGTAGAACAGCTTCACATTATCACATTTACCAGTGATGAGTGAACGTTTCGGCTAGAAAATCTTCATCAGCATATGACAGAGACAAACAATGATACTGTTACAATCAAGAAAACACAGTAACAGCCTCTCTCTCTCTCTCTCTCTCTCTCTCTCTCTCACACACACACACACACACACACACACGCATGCACGCACGCACACCCACCCACCCACCCACACCCACCCCCCACACACACCCACCCACACACACACACACATACACACACACATACATACACACACACACACACGTGCAAAAAGGGGGTGGTGTTGTGTCTTTGAGCCTGAGGATTTAAGGCTTCATGGCTAGTACTGTCATCATTGACAGCACAGGTTAGGATTTTATTTTTGCTCCAAAAAGAAAAGAATCCCGAATCTCACCACGGATTCAAACCTGGTCTCCCGCTTAAGAGACCAGCATTCCAACCGTTCGGCCGACCGCTAAAAACACACAGTATCACTTATCTGTAAATAGAGGCCTCTCACATACTTTGTTTGGGATGTTAATGAAAACAGTGGGGGGGGGGGGGGGGGGGGGGGGGGGGAAAGGGGGGGGGGGGGGGGGGGGGGTGTTGCATCTGCGTGTTACCTTAATTGACTTTCAATGTGGAGGCGGCGCACTATTTCTAATGAATATTCAACGAAAGTACACAAATTCTAAAGACTGAAGTTACTGGTGAAAATACTGACAACTGAATTATAAACTGAGAACATATTAAAAAGAATTTTTATGAATAAACACAACAACAAATGTGTTATCGAAATGTAACAAATTAGATTCATATAAGTTATAGAAGATAATATAAAACCATAAGAGTAAAAAATTATATTATTATCTTTGGTTAAAACAACAACAGTTAATTAGTTAGTAGGCAGATTATCCTCACGGCACATCCAACCACCCAGTCCATCAGTGTTCAGATCCCATCTTCAGTAAATACCAGGGCCTGTAGTGGCTAACCACACCAGTTCTTTGTTGGTTTCTTATTCTTCCTTGGCCTCCTGCATAGAGTTCTTGTCTGGCCACACCCCTCCTAACAAGGTATTTTGTTGTCCGGTCAGGGTTGCAGGTTCACAGTAATCAACAAGACTTAAAAATAATAATGATACTGTAACAGTTGCGCTACTCATTATAGATAACATCACAGACGCGTGTCTACTATTCTGTAGCCCATGTCCAGAATGGCACAATTCTAAATCGTCAATCTTGTATGTCTTGTGCATACGTCTGCTGTGTCCCGTACATATTCTATTTACAATGGCCTGTTTCTTTCGTGTGGAGAGGTTGATTGGGTCTTCAGGTTTGTGTCCTGGGTGGAAAGTGAGCCAGTGAGTTCTAATAGTTGCCTTGATCCGAGTTTTATTTTCCTCAAGTTTATCCTTTATCTGGGTGTTCTGTGTGACTTCCAGTTTCTGCTATGTAGTCTACTCTTTCATTTTCCTTACTTTTGTAGTGGTCAGGTTTGGCTCGATCACCTTCTGCTTGGTTAGCCGACCCACTTGATTGAGCAAATATATAAGCTTGTTGAATGGTAGTTGCTAAAGGTTTTGTATTGCTTGCAATACTGAACTTGAATCTGTCAGTATAAACACTTTCGACTCATAACCCTACAAAACACCGTTGGCAAAGTGCTGGAGAAGATAGTGGCGGGTAAGCTACAAAAAGTTTTGGAACAGAAAAACCTCCTTCCACGAGGTTTGGGAAGTTACCGGCCAGGGAAGGATACATGGTCAAATGCAGCCACTTTTGCCTTTGACGCCATTGAAGGTTTCCAGAACAGACACGGAACGGTGTTAGCGGCACTAGATTTAGAAGAACTTTTCAACAAAGTCAGAAACAATATCTTGATGAAAGCGCTTATGGAGAAGGGAGTCTGTGCTTAGTTGGTGAAAAGTATAGCAGCTGTTTTGTGTACTTTCTGGGTAGCTCTTTGCCTGGGTTCATGGACCTCTAAACCATGTATTACAGCCCCAGGACTACAGAGCAAGATTGCGAACCTGGAAACACCCGGAGTTAGCAGAATATTGCCATTTACAGATGATGTTCTCGCATATAGGAAGGGGAGAGATCGGAATCAAATAGCTCAAGAGTTACAGGCAACAGTAGATAAGGTGATCGACTGGTGACCAGAGATGAGTGCTGTAATCAACCCAGAAAAGGCAACCGTCCTGTGGTGTTCTTAAGACAACATGATTGTTAGAGCTGATGTTTCAAGACTCAAAATAAATGGCAGAGACATCTAAAGAGACAGCAGGCTGCATGACCTGGGAATCACCTTTGACAGAAGCTTGACTTTCAAGGAGCACTAACAATTATGGCAGCGAAGGACATGGAGCAGACAATGCTGTTCACACTTTACCAGCACTTTATCATCTGTGATTGATTATGGACTGGGGTTATTCACTGTCTCGAAAAGTCAGCTAGAGAAACTTGAGCGCAATCAAAATTAAGCTATGCGGGTGATCCTTGGATGCACAAGAGTCACTCCGATTGTGTGTATGCGATACATTCTTGCATTGCCGACTATTGCAGACAATAAGGAACTGGGTATCCTGGAGTTACGAAGGGTTTTAACAACGCCAAAGCCACAGATGCAGAGGTGCCGAATAGTAACAAGAGAATTGCTTTATATGATTGGTGTGGGCGGCGGGCGGGGGTGGGTGCTATTTAGCATCTTTACAAAATGTCTAGGGACGGGGTTCAACCCCCTTAAACGAGAAGCTTTAACCCCGCCCCGTCCCCCATGTTTTGGTGAGTGTATGCATGCTGGTTGTCCACTCCGAGCAGCTACCCTACAGTTTGATACCCTGAGATTATAAAATCTTAGTCTGGATGTCAGACCAATAGGGCAATTCCATAAAACCATGTTCAACCTTTTAAAAAAAGTTGTCTTTGGGACAATGGTAACGGCTAGACAGAGCTGGTGCAACCTGCTGGTCCTTCGTGGGTAAGGGCCAATGATCCTGTCATGAGGACAAGTTGTGACGTACGGTATCGGCGCATAATAAATCCTTGAAAGTCTTTATCACAACGAATACTTCAGCGCATCTTCGTTTCTTTCACCAGACCAGTGGCTATCTTGCACGTTTCTATGTACCAACACGGAATCTTAATCGGCGTTTATCTTCATTCTACTTAATGCTCAACTAGAAGAGGAATTAACCCCGTTTGCTTGTGATTAGACAAAATTTAGTTGGTTACTTCCCGTATCAAACGTGTCAATTGTCCCCACAAGGGTCAGTGGAGGACATTCTGTGTTGTTTTTGAGGGCACAGGAGTGAGGCGGGTATGGGTAACCAGTTTGCTATGAATTCCAGAGAAATTTGACTAAGAAGTCACCCCCATAGTTTCACCAGTTTGCTATGAAGCTGAAACAAGGATTACCATATTAATTTCCTTTTATAAAACATTTGTTGTAGTTGGTTTTTTAATCCAGCTATGAGGGTTGAATAGGGCATTTTTGTGAAAACGACTACTACTACTACTACTACTACTACTACTACTACTACTACTACTACTACTACTACTACTAATTAGTAGAAGTACATCGGAGTGGCTGCAGCATGAGAGGAAAGAGCACGCAGGGGAGTGCCCAATATGCAGTGACATCGACTGTAATAACATTAATACTATCACTGCTGCTTCTGCTACTACCACTACCAATGCTGCTGCTTTTACTACTGCTACTACTTCTACTACTACTGCTGCTGAGATTACTGCTACTGCTTTCACTACTACTACTACTGCTGCTACTACTACTACTGCTGCTGTTACTACTACTACTGCTGCTACTACTATTGCTGCTGATGTTACTACTTCTACTACTACTACTACTACTACTACTACTACTACTACTACTACTACTACTACTGCTGCTGCTCCTGCTGTTGCTGCTGCTACTACTACTACTACTTCTTCTACTACTACTACTGCTGCTGCTACAACTACTTTTATATAACCTTTTAAGTCAACACAAAAGACACGGGGTCCCAGGGGGAGATCACTGGCAGGTATTACATCAGCAAGGTGAAGGCCGGCTGCAGGAAAATATTCCAGACGTGAATGGTGGACTTCTGTCGGAGATAACAGGTCTGGACTCTCTCTTTTGTTGTTTTTTTTCCTGGCTTTTCTCGAACGAAAACTAACAATTAACACGTCATTGGCTACATACATTGCAAAATCACATATTATGACAGTAATTTAGTGAAAACAAACCTAGCTGATTGTGAATTTGGAAATAAATTACCGATAATTTGATCGACATCGACATCCTGTTGTTTTTGACTTTTAGTTAATTCCGGGAATATTTTCTCTAAGGTTTGCATCTGTACGGTTAGTCCTGACTTCTTTATCTATTACGTTTTCTTATTTTCTAGTTCTTATTTGTACTGTGATTTTATTTACATTACAAGTTAGACGGGAGGCAGAAGTTTTAGGTGATTTACATGATACGTAAGTTTGTAGATCGTAAGTATAAGTAAGGACTACTTTTTACGAGTTGGAACAAATATTTGAGCTCTACTGCACGCAAAAAAGACCACCAGCGACAATGGTATTCACTCAGGGACTCATTTCACAGAAATAAGGGGTTCTTTCATTCGATCAGAACGGGTCTGAAGCTGAACTAGCCTTATAAAATAGCCTGTAGGTACTGGATGATTGTTAGGTCCGAGAAGGATAAGGTAAGGGCAGTAGCCACCTCATCTCGTAACCCCAACCTAGAGAGATGTCGTCTCCATGGACGGGACACTTCACACACAAGTGAATGTTTGCCAAAAGATGCCTCTTTTATGCCTTCCGTTAATGCATTTTCTGATTGTTTAATTGTATCCAGATAATCAAGTTAATGACTGATAAACTAGACTTTTCTAGAAAGTTCATTTACATATACTATATACTTTATGCATATAATTATTTCTTCCCCACTTTAAACTGTTCAAAAAAATGTAATGCAATTAAAAATATTAATGTTCACAATTGGAAATTAATCTTACCTATTCTTCATTATGAAAAGTAAAATAGAATTTGCCAGACTTTTCTAGAAATGTCTGCTATTTTCTAGAATGTACAAAAGTGATATAAGGGCAAGTTGGCAGCTGGGTCTGTTTACTTGAATGTAATGAAGCACACACAGGATTTCCTTTCTCATGTGGGACTGTTTTGGATACATGGTGCTAATTTCATAAGTTTATAGACCGGTCAGCCATTTGAAGCTGAGTCAGATTGGGATCTCAGGGCTATTTTTTTTCTAACTCATTTGATATTTAGACACATGACTACTGGGCCAGCAGGCAAGTGGGTTAGTTGCTGTAGTGCTACTACCGTGGCCTCCTGTTGAATGTAGTGTTTTCATTGAGGATGGTTTTTAATTGAATAACATGTAATGTATTAATATTTTCATGAAAGAAGTGTTTTCCTTTAGAGATGTTATTAATTTATAGAATGAAATGTTATAATTTTGGTATTTTGCAATTGTATGTAGTATTAACGAGTATTATAAAATTAAATAAAATGTTCTAATTTAGAATTTTTAATTGAATGTAGTGTTTTTGTTTGTTTAAGAATGTTTTTAAATAAATATTTAGTTTTAATTTAGGAATGTTATTAATTAAATGAAAAGTTAATGTAGTTTAGGAATATTTTAATTGACAATAGTGTTTTCTTTTACAAATTGAATAAACTGTTATGAATTATGTATATTTTGGCTATCCTCCAAATAACGGCCAACAGTATCCCCGCACTGTGCGTGGCAGCGCAGAGGGGGGCTAAACTAGATGGCTGTGAATCACGAGCAGATAAAATGAGGAAGCTGCATGAGATACGGTAGCTGCTGCTCGTGAGTTCTAGCAATCTAGTTTAGCTTCATGTAGCGGTGCGGAGGGAAACTCTCGGTGACGAGTTTAACTCGGCAGTTTGTTGCATTTGGCGACATCATCGCTGGAAATTTATCCCAGTTGTACTGCGTGTTTTTTATGCGTTTCGCGACATCAACCCCGGAAATGTATCATACTTTTGCCGCGATATAATCGCCGGAAAGAAGTCTGCAATTTACATGTGATTGAGACCCTGTCAGGGTGTTTTTTTTGGGGCCGCCATAATATGTGGCCGTTGTATGGAGGATAGCCTATTTTTTAAATGTCTGTAGTTTTTTGAAGAATATTAATTAAATAAAATGTTATAATTTATGAATATTTTAACTGAATATAGCGTTTTTTATTCGGGAATGTTTTAAACTGAATATAGTGTTATCATTTATAACTGTTATTCATTGAATATAGTTTTATAGTTTATGTGCTGGAAATTGGTTAAATTAAGGTAGAATGTGTTCTTTATATGTTAATAAAATTAACCTCTGGTTGAAAACCCATCTTTGACGATTATGAACTTTTAAAACCCTGAAGCTATTGTCGAATGAGACTAAGTACTTATGGCCAGTTAATATTAAATTTCTGCCATATTCTGAAAGGGACATTGTTTTTATGAAGTCTTAATTTTCAGAATAGCAGTGGAAGTAACGGCTCGCTGCCATGAGTTTTTTTTCTTTTTTCCATGATTGGTAATATGACATTTTCTTTGTAGACAAGTCTGGTGGAATTATTAACATGTTTTGTTAATGTTTGTGTTGTTTTCCAGATTTACCTTGATGATAGCATTGTTACTGTGATCACTCATTAATTAGTACGAGGGAAAATGTACGATATCATTATTCTGAAGGAGGGTTATACCAGACCCGAGCCACATGGTAAGTTAGACTGAAGTAAATGTTAAAAGTTCGCACTCAAAAATATTTCTTTGTCTATGACCTATGTCTAGTTTGAGGCGAGCAGAAAGCAGAACCTTGCTAGTTTTCTCAACGGATCTAAGTCCTTCATGATCAGTCACTTTAATGATTTTTTTTTTTTCATTGTTGCCACGTTAAACTATACTGTATGATTTTTTCCCCTCGATCTGTCTTGCATAATTTCTGATCTTTGCAGCCATCCTGGTGTTCTCCAAAGCCTCTGTTTTCCTCATACTTCTATCACAGCTGCAAACAATCTGCAGCTTTTATTACAATTTTCTTTTTTTTTTAATTTGCTTCTCTGGCAGTCTAAAATATTAGCGCCATGCATCACAGAAACCAGGAGTTGTACTGACAGGATCAAATCCCCATGGAGTGGGATTTAAAAAAAAAAAAATGACCTTGTGACCTTAACATCCGGATTTTATCTTTTCACTTAGGATTAGTTATGGCGAGGAAGACAGCAGAAATTCTGGATTGACACATGTATGGACAGGATGTATTTGTAATCTTGTGTCCGTAGCTGGGGACAAACCTGCTAGTTATATCATACCCGCATCATTCGTTGGCACCTGGCTAAATTCACCTGAATACTAAATGAATGTTTCACGAAAATTGTTTCTACATTTCCAGAGGATTTGGCATACACTTAGCACTCAGGAGAAGAGGGCGACGGATATACAGTCAGACCGTTACTGGTGCCAAAGGTATTGAAACTCTGCTGCTGAAGATAGGGACAGAGCGCTTATAGGAGTGTCCAGAGTGCTGTGATGTTGATTCTTAATTAAAAAATTCAACAGTTCAACATTGATTCTACATTGAGTGGCAAATGGACATTGTGTGGAGCTGTATGAGAAGCGATGCTTTATTTTGACTTATTTAGAATAAGAATTCAAACATGCTTGTTTTGCATATTGTGAAAGGATAAAAACATGATGCATTTAAGTGAAAATTGCAACTTAGAGGACTTGGTACCATTCTTTTATTTCCTGGGGAATTCCTGCTGAATTCCCCAGACAGTTCTGTGCACTTTTATAGGTGGTAAGGGAGGCTGCATTAGCGCAGTCGATAGGAGACTCACTTTCAAATCCAGCTGCGACTCGCTGCAGCCCATGGCCGGTGTTTGAAACCGGGTGGTTCCCGGGGTTCACCAGCCTTTAGAAAATGGGCATCAGAGTTGTCACTGTGGGGTAAATGGAGGAACGTCGCTGTAGCTACAGAGTTACATGCGAATGGCGACACAGGGGGACAGTTTCTTATCAGCTGTCCATACTGGTGGCAGAGCACTTATGGTTTACAACTGTGTGCAGTGACGCTGGTTCACATCTGCCGACTTTACCTTTTTTTTTTAAAACCTTTTTAGGTGGTTAGGGTTATTTTTTTCTTCTGCAGTTCTCACAAAATAGATTATATTTTCAATATTGTCTCTATTATGAAGCTTACTCCCTTATTTAATTCACTCAGTAACCTGTAAGGTTCGCCTTCAACCGGTGTTTCTCTTGACCAGAACTTAAGGCCCTGGGATGCGAATTGGGGATGCTTAGGGGTGGTCCCTGAAAAGGGCCATCTTGTGATGACGGGGGAGTGCCCCGAAAAGAGCTGCCTTGTGATGACGGGGGAGTGCCCCGAAAATAGCAGCCTTGTGATGACGGGGGAGTGCCCGAAAAGAACTGTCTTGTGATGACGGGGGAGTGCCCTGAAAAGAACCGACAGTCTCCATGTATATGTGCTGGTGGGTTAGGGTTAGATGCAGCAGTGCCGAGAGGTCAAGTAAATTCATGGTGAGATCGAAGTCACGCAGTAAGAACGCCACTTCTAGACAGGGCACAGTGATGACAAGGAACGAACGAAAGTAACAGATGCAGGAAATGATGAATGAACGGTGAAAATGCTAAAAGAGCCAAAAAAATGACACCCCTAGGATGTAGAAGTTTTAGAGTTTTAGGGTTAGTGTTAAATAAACACTGGCTAACCCCAACCCCCTACAAAAAAGTTATGTGCAGCCCTCGAGGTGTCCTGAAGTTAAAGAATAGTGCCAATGACTTGGTGGTGGCAATGATTTGTTTGTGGCTGTGTGATGAAATGACAAATCTGTGGGTTTCTTTTTAAAAAAATGTATATACATTTGACTTATTTCTACAGCAGAGAATCTAGTTAAACCAGTTAAAATAAAGCGGTATGTGTTTTTTGTAATACATGTTTTTCTTTCACATTTCACAGGTACAATGCGAGCATGTGGAACAATTACCCTTCTGAAGAGCCCCACAAACAATATAGTTGTGGATACGGGAAACCCTTGGGACCGTGAGACGGTTGTTAAGGGTAAATATGGAAAACATTTGTATATATTACAAGACACCTTTCTGGAGTAAAATGGTTTTTTTCTGTTGTCAGCATACGTGGCTTACCGGGAAGGCTAACCGGGTCAACAAATGCCCGCAGAAGTCGGACGTGTTGGCCGAAAAGTGCAAATATCGCAGCCATGCTGTAAACAGACACAACACAATTACATCTTCGGATGAACGCAGAAGAAGAAGAAGATATGTGGCTTTATTGTCATCATCATCAGACAGCAGACTCTTTACATAGCATTACTCTCATCACAACATCCCAAAAAGTCTCTCTTCAGCCAATTCTGCAGCCCTATGTACTTTTATAGTGAATACATCATTGATATCTTTTTCCATCTTTGCCGAGGTCTGTCTCTGCCTCATTTTCCTGAAACTTTACCCTCCATCCCCGTTCTTTCCAGGTCATCATGCCGTTTAGCGTGGCTAAAATGTCACGGATTCTGGGACAAGATATTATCTCAAGCTTAGAGGTTTTTAACAGTTTCATATTTCTGACATAACATCATTGGCACCTTTCCGTCTTTCCAGACAATAGTGTTATTTCGCTTTATGTGGAGGCATAAGACTCACAGCCCATGGCGATGGCGAGTGTGACTAGCAAGACCCGCCTGTGTTATTAAGACAAGTCTTCCACAATGATAGCATGGGATTTCAGGACCATTTTGTCAACATTTGTGTTTAATCCGTTTCTTTTCAGATGCTCAGCTCTCATCCTTTCTGTGTAAGACATTTTCTTAACACACATGGGTCCTGCTGTTCACACCTTTCATCTCTATAGGCTGTGATTCCAATATACCCCTATATATTACACTATTGTCTGGAAAGACGAAAAGGTGCCAACAAACCCCATCACACATTAAATGCCTATTGCTTTTTCAAAATATGGGGTTAGCACCATGTGCCAGATACCCTGAAAGTGTCAAAATAGTCCATTAAATTCAAGCTGCTTGTAGTCCTTTGACCAAACATGAATTAGCTAACAGTTCGATTTGCTTGAAATTAAAAATGTCAACAGTTTTGTTTCATTTAGTTGGCAGTAACTCTTTGTATGCAGATTGTTGGTCTATCCATAAACATATAATTTAGTTCAACTAGCATTGTTTCATTTAGTTGGCAGTAACTCTTTGTATACTGATTGGTCTATAAACATAAAATTTAGTTCAACCAGCATTGTTTCATTAGAAGAAAAGGACCATTCTCATATCTCTGGCACATAGTCTACTTTTTGGGGGGGACCGGTTTAGGGCAAGGGTGTCCTGAGCCTGAGGATTTAGGGTAGTATGGCTGATGCATTCACCATGGAGTGTGCAGGTTAGGATCTTATTTTTACCCCCCCCCCCCCCTTCCTTTCCCATCACCTTTCCCTTCCACCCACCAAAAAATCTTGTCACTTTACTGAGGGATAGAACCTTGATTTCCTGAACAAGAGCCTAGCATTCATACCCATTTAGCTAGCCGCTCCTAATGCTCCATCTGCTAGAGGCACGAGAAAGAGGTCTTTACTGAAACTGTGTCAGGAGAACTAACAATAAAACTAGTCAACTTTACAATACCTTAGTCATGAAAACAAAAGGTGTGTGGTGACTAGAATGCCTTCATCACATATAATATTGATGAACAGTGATACAGTTAGCAGCAAGAATACATAAAATATGTTTTTACTGAGTTGGCAATGTGGCTTATCAGAGCAAATAAGTTACTGCTTCCCACACAACCAGCATTGTCAGTCCACGGGCTGACTCCAGCCAACATCAACTATGTGATCTGTACCAGCGGCAAACTAGGGCAGACTGGAAACCTTAATCTGTTCACGTCTGCTGTGCAATTGGTAGCTGGTGATGTCTGCAAAGGAGACATGTACCAGCTTCATGGATTTCGTGAGGTAGTAGGCATGCATGCTGATTTATTGAGATCTCTCAGAATTTAGAAGATTCTGAATTCTATTGTTTATTCTTTGTGAGTAGCATCGGCTTGTGCACACTGACATCCTATGTTCACTTGTTAGAAATATTTTTAATGGCTTCTTACATTAATATAACAATACTGTCGAATGTTTGTAGACATTTAATTTCAAGCTTTCTTATATTTTTGTCTCTTGGTGCTTGTTCTGTGTCTCATTTACAATATCTAAAATAATGGATGATAATGTATGTTGACCTGCAATATGAAATGATCTGTGCCACATTAAGACATAAGTTGTCTGTCCTTAACTGTTATGGTGAGCTCTGAGTTCAGTTTGCTCATTTGATTGGCTGAGTTGAATACATAACTGTGGGATTGGCAAACAGACTAGTGTGCCTTTCACTGAACACTTGGAAGAAGCAGTTCTGCTTCAGTTGAAGATTTGTGGAATCATGGCACATAAGGAGTACAAGATTAAAGATTGAAATGCTGCATCAACATTAGAATCTAAGAGATGACTGAGACATTAGAGACACATACATGATTTAACCAGAGGTGTTAACTGAGGGAAACAAATGTGACAGCGCAGTCCCACCTGTGATTTGTTTGTTTTGTTTACTTGTGGTGAAGATCTTTATACTTAACCCATCTGTGTGTTGCGGATAACTGAGAGAGTGAACAAGCAGTTGGAAAGTAGAATTGATTCTGAGGATTTTGAGGCACAGAATTTTATTGAAAAAGCAAAACAAAATTGGCACTTGAAAAATTTAATTGGATCTCTTAGAATGTTGCTAATACAGAATTTATTCAATACTAAAACAGTTAGGTAGAGGTCTCTGAAGAGATCGGAAATGAAACAAAGTTATTGATGGAAATTAAAAGCTGACAGTTGGAAAAAATTTAGGCTACATTAAAAGAAATTTGAGGTAAGTGAGCTAGAGATAGATATCAATACAGTTGGGAAGAAAACATGAAGAGATGAACAAACATCAGTCTCAGAGATTGTGTATCCAGGACAAGAAACGCAGCATGTCAGAGCTCCATTGCAGCTTAGCTTAATTGTGGAGCTGGCACCTAAATAATTGATTTTAAAATCATCAGAATTCTACTGAAACATCAGTTGCATGCAAATGATAATGTTTTGTCTACTATATTTTCAGTAAGTAAGCTTGATCTATCCAGATATGTTTACTAACATGAACATAAACAGTATGAGGGCATGTTTGCTTGCAGGTTTGTATGCCCAGAGTTTGAATGTTGATGACATACAGTATGTTGTCTGTACCCACGCCCATAGTGACCACTGTGGTAATCTCAACCTCTTTACCCGTGCTGTTCATGTAGTTGGCTTTGACATTTGTCGACAGGACCAGTTTCATCTGCATGACTTTAAACAGGTAACGGTAGATACGATTAGTTGCAATACTGACAGTAATAACAATAGGAATGGTCATGAATGCAGTTTTTTTTACAAAATCACTGTTCACCGACATTTCTGTTGTCATCTGCCATGGATGTTTGCAGCAATTTTCTGCCTTTTCTTTTTCTTTCCAGCATTTCTTTGTCTTTTCTACCAATGATCATTCCAACATTTCTATTCCTTTTCTGCCACAGATCTTTCCAACATTTCTTTGCCTTTTCTGCCACAGATCTTTCCAACATTTCTGTCCCTCTTCTGCCACAGATCTTTCCAACATTTCTATGCCTCTTCTGCCACAGATTTTTTCAACATGTCTCCTCTGCCATGGATACCACCACTTATCACAAAGTTCTCAAATGCCTTTCTGCTGTCACTTCGCACGTCAGACCACATATCGGTGCAGACCACACAGCACTGTTTCTTTCATATAGACCTTAAAATGTTCTACCTTTAGTTCTATCAAGGCAGTGATAAAGTTTTGATGTTACAACATTTTATAACAATAACAATAGCAATTTGTGTAGCTTGGCTGCTTGTAATCTTCTCAGCGCAGAGTGCTTTATTTTTGTGTATTAACATTTCACTATTAATTCCTTGCTCAAGTTTTAGAACTTATTGGTCTGTTTGTTTCCTCTCTCTCATGTTTTCCTCTTGTGTGGCTGTTTGAATGCTATATATTTGAATTAGTTTTAAGTTGTAGTTGATGGGCAATTTATTTGGGTTTTATTTCATAAAATGTTGACACGAAAGTGGCAAGGCATAACATATGATTTAAATCCATCTTGGGGAAACATGGGCTAGGAGAGAGGGACACTAATGGAGAAAGGCTGACCGACTTCAGTCTCCACCACAGTCTAGTCGTTGGTGGAACAGTCTTCATGCATAAAGGTACCCACAAGTACACACAGATGTCACCTTATGGCACACATGGAATCAAATTGACCACATACTTTACAATAAGAAGTGAAGAACCTCAATACAATATGTATTTACTAGAAGGAAACCTGACGTCGGGTGTGATCACTACATAGAGATTTGTAGATTTTAAGCTTAAATTAAGAAGAAGCAAGAAAAAGACTGTAGCCTATTATTTGATTTAGCCCAGCTCAGTACATTACAGGTCAGAGAAGATTTTTGTGTCAGACTAAGAAACCAGTTTAAGGTGCTTAACCACCTACCACAGACAACAAAGAATGAGCACAGCCTAAAGATGTGTATTGCAAGGCAGGCCAGAAAATACTCGGTGTGAAGAAGCTTGTGAGAGAGGAATAGATATCTAAAGACTCTTTGTCAAAATTAGAAGAAAGAAAATGAAAAAAAAAAAAAAAAGCAAATAAACCTTGCAAAGAGCACCCAGGAAAAGATGGCCGCACAGAAAGCATAAAACAGCAAACATAAAGAAATAAAAGAAAGACAATGACAGTGATACTAGAACATTGTATAAAAATAACAAGGGATCTTAGTGCAAAACATTTTAGCTTGAATGAAGGAAACCTGAGAGACACAACAGAAGGAATAATCACAACAGAAAAAAAAAAAAAAAATTTACATGTGGCAAGAATATTTTACCGAGTTGCTAAATAGGACAGCAAATAGGCTAGTAAATACATATTGTATTGAGGTCCTTCACTTCTTATTGTAAAGTATGTGGTCAATTTGGTTCCTTGTGTTGCCATTAGGTGACGTCCATGTGGACTTATTTATGCGTACCTTTATGCATATCCCAGTGGATATTGGGACGATCAGCGTTAAAGAAATAGAAACGGCAATAAGCAGTATGGAGAATGGGAAGACACCAGGTGAAGTCCAAACTAGTTCTGACATGTTAAAGGCAGACCCACCATTTACAGCAAAAGCATTACAGGGAATATTCAACAAAATATGGATAAATGGTGTCCCAACAGGCTGGAAAAATTGTGTCATCATCCCACAACCGAAGAAAGGTGATCTCTCACACTGCACCAACTAGAGAGGCATAACTTTATTGTCTGTACCCAGAAAGGCACTCTGTAGGGGGGTATACAACAGAATGAAGACATCAATAGACGGAAGATCAGGCAGGATTCAGGAAAGGAGGAAACTACTGTGATCATATTTTCACACTCATAAATATTGTGGAATGCCATATAATATATAAACTTTAAAGACTTTGAAAAGACCTTTGGCAGTCTAGATATAACTGTGTTATGGAGTATCCCTGCTGCATAGGGTTAGCAGATAAAGTTATAAGATATTAAAGGACTCTATGAAGGATACCAATGCAGAGTGAAAGTAGGACTTATGGAAACATAATTCTTCAGAGTAACATCAGGAGTCCGACAAGGGTGCATTCTGTCACCTTTCTCTATCATCCCTCATAATGATAGGTTATGTTTTTGAAAAAAAAAAAAAACAGGCACGTGGACGGGCCTTCAGTGGAACCTTCTCGAACACCTGGAACATTTGGTCTTTGCAGATAATATCTGTGTCATTGGCCAAAGTAAAGAACATCTGCAACAAACGACAGATAAGATCACAGAAATAGAAAAACAGACAGGGTTAAGAATCAATGTCAGTAAAACAAAACTGCTGGAGATAAACACCAAAAGTGAAAGACCTATAGTAACAGATAATGTAGGTTTGGAAGTAGTAACCGTCGTCACCTTCCTGGGAAGCAGTATCTCCGCGGAAGGAAATTTAGTGGCTGAAATCAAGCAGAGAATTGCAAAGGCAAATGCTGTTTACATCTACAGCGCTAAAACTAAACTCAGGATATACAAAACATGTGTTAGGACAGTTCTCCTTTATGAAGCAGAAACTTGGAAAACAGACAGAAAGATAGAGAACATGCTCAGAGGTTTTGAGGAAAAACTTCTCAGAAGATTGTTGGGGATCACATGGGAAGATAAAATCAGCAATTCTAGATTACAACAAATGACAGACTTAGATGATGTAAATTTAGAGATCAAAAAAGGAAGATGGAGGTGGATTGGACACGCCCTCAGAATGAAGAAAGAGAGACGGCTGAGACAGGCAATGCAGTAGACACCATAAGGACGGCCAGGAAGAGGCAGGCCCAGAGGTACTTGGAGGTGAACCTTTGAGGCTGAACTTAGTGCTATGTGAGCGACAAAAGAGAGGATAGCTCAGGATCGAATTGAGGTGCGACTGTTTGTCTCTTCCATATGTACCACTGGGCGCGATGAGGATTGATTGATTTGATTCACTCACTTGTTAGAAGGTATACAGATGATTAGTTAGTCAGTCAGTTAGTTAGTTGACAGATTATCCTCATTTTACATCTGACAAGTCCATAAGCACTTATCCCTCAGCATGTGGCAATTAATACACCAGGTCCGTGTTGGTTTACTGTTCTTCTTTGGCTGCCTGTGTAGTGTTTCACATTTGGTGACATCTCTTTTGACCTGAAGTTCTTAGTCTTTTGAGTGTTGCTAATTCAGGGTCATCTCCTGAATCATCTTGTCATCCTGCCTCCTTGAGAACATTAAGAATGTCAGGGGTATAGAATAAGTAAGTGGAGTGTCTGTGCTCTGTGCCACATTGGGAATTTAAAGGCTGAAGAAGAAGAGAGATAACTGTACTGTGGTGGTTGTTGTTGGTTGTTCCGGTGATTTCAGCTTCACTCCATTTTTCTGTGTTCTAATGCAAGTAAAAATCAAACACAATGCCCTTCACGATCTTATTTAAAAATTGTAATGTGTTATCTATGATTATACAAGGCTCATTATAAAAACTTTGTTTTTTTGGGGTACTAACAATTCCACCCCCGCAGGGCATTCCTTATGAGATAGATGATGATGTGGAGATTTGGCCCACACCTGGACACACAGGCAGTGATGTCTCTGTTGTTGTTAAGAACACCAACCTGGGAACTGTTGCAATCACTGGTAAGTCTAACAACTATACTTCTCTCATTTGTTCAACATAATTTGTATGCGCGGGGGGGGGGGGGGGGGGGGGGGGTACATTACCTGCCTAAATTTGAGTATCGTGCATTTTTTAAAATTTGCAGAATAGTGACTTGGCTGTTTTAAAATCAGTAATACAATTCAAGGCTTTAAATCTCATATTTTACAGATAACTTCTAAGCAAACCATATGTCAAGAAAAAACAAAAATACATATTTTTCAAGATTTCAATATCAAAGGAAATGGCTCATAAACAATATTGAATCCCAGATAAAAAATAAAAATTACTTCAACCAAATAAAATGGGAAAGTTCAGTATAGGTAAGTTTTGTAATTTCTTCTGACCCCAACACAGACCTGTCAAGCAATTATTGGCTAGCTTCAGTCATCACTTCTTCTGACCCCAACCAGACCTGTCAAACAATTATTGGCTAGCTTCAGTCATCACTTCTTCTGACCCCAACACAGATCTGTCAAGCAATTGTTGGCTAGCTTCAGTCATTTCTTCTAATCCCAACCAGACCTGTCAAGCAATTGTTGGCTAGCTTCAGTCATCACTTCTTCTGACCCCAACACAGATCTGTCAAGCAATTGTTGGCTAGCTTCAGTCATCACTTCTTCTGACCCCAACCAGACCTGTCAAGCAATTATTGGCTAGCTTCAGTCATCACTTCTTCTGACCCCAACCAGACCTGTCAAGCAATTATTGGCTAGCTTCAGTCATCACTTCTTCTGACCCCAACCAGACCTGTCAAGCAATTGTTGGCTAGCTTCATTGCCACTTCTTCTGACCCCAACCAGACCTGTCAAGCAATTGTTGGCTAGCTTCATTGCCATTTCTTCTGACCCCAACCAGACCTGTCAAGCAATTGTTGGCTAGCTTCAGTCATCACTTCTTCTGACCCCAACACAGATCTGTCAAGCAATTGTTGGCTAGCTTCAGTCATCACTTCTTCTGACCCCAACACAGATCTGTCAAGCAATTATTGGCCAGCTTCAGTCATCACTTCTTCTGACCCCAACACAGACCTGTCAAGCAATTGTTGGCTAGCTTCAGTCATCACTTCTTCTGACCCCAACACAGACCTGTCAAGCAATTATTGGCTAGCTTCAATCATCACTTCTTCTGACCCCAACACAGACCTGTCAAGCAATTATTGGCCAGCTTCAGTCGTCACTTCTGACCCCAACACAGACCTGTCGAGCAATTGTTGGCTAGCTTCAGTCATCACTTCTTCTGACCCCAACACAGACCTGTCAAGCAATTGTTGGCTAGCTTCAGTCGTCACTTTTTCTGACCCCAACACAGACCTGTCAAGCAATTATTGGCTAGCTTCAGTCGTCACTTTTTTGGACCGTAACACAGACCTTTCGAGCAATTATTGGCTGGCTTCGGTCGTCACTTCTTCTGACCCCAACACAGACCTGTCAAGCTATTGTTAGCTTGCTTCACTCGTCACCTTTACTAACTCTTCTGACCTCATATTTTCCACACTACTGTTTCCTGTTTGTTTTATAATATTTTATTATCACAGACTGTATTCCTAATGTTTTTATTTCACCTCTGATAGATGTTCTCCTTATTCTTTGTTCACCCTCTTTAAGCTCTGGCAGAAATTCCTGATTGTCCATTTGAAATTTTGCTTTGTGCCAGGACCTGTGTGTTATGTGTACATCAGTTTTACTGGCTTATTTGTGTGCAGTCGGTTGTTACGTGCCCCTCAGACTGATGCACTCTGACCTCGAAGGAACTCTGATAGATCATAAACCATGAAATTACCCAAGGTTAAAAATGCAAGGAATATTGTGGAGAGGCAGAAAACTAGTTAGTTAGTTAGTTAGTTGGGTTATCATCATTGCACTCCAGAAATGTCCATAGGTGCTCAGATCCTCCCCTCAGTATGAACCCCAACGTCCGATGGCTAATAGTACCAGTTCTGTGTTGATTAACAAATCTTCTGGTGTGTCTGGTGTGTGTCTCGATTTTTGTTATGCTGATCTTAATTGCCATGTCTGCCATTCTGGCAAGTGATGTGGATTCACTGCCCCCAAAGTCTTCTATCCTTCCCATTTCTCTGAGGGCATTAATAATATCAGCATGATCCATAGGCTGACCGTCAGTAGTGATAGCGGATCCAGCCAACCTATCAGATCTTTCATTTCCATTGACGCATGCGTATCTCGGAACAAAAATAAAGGTGTCTCCATGCACAGTGGACTTCTGTAATGATTCAAACCTTTGTCTTCGCACCGAACCTGCCTGAACCCTCCAGATCATAGTCATTGAATCACTGAGTATACATGGGCAGAAAACTAACAAGCAGCTAATGAATAAATTGGAGGGAAGAAGGGGAATGTGTGTGTCACCCCAACAATGAGGGTTGGCTACATTACAGACACTGCTGTCCTTGGGAATGTTATATGATGAGACTCCATCCTCTTCCTTGGTGCCACTTATGCCAACTGTCTAAAAATCATGACAACTTTATTTAAAATAAAAACTCCTCTGTGGGCATAGAGCCCTGGTACTCGAGGATCATAGCAATTGTTAAGTGCATACACTAACCTCCAAGTCACAAAGCCGAATGCAAACTGATTAGAAGAATTGAATTTAGATGGTCAATAATTTTGTTGTTGATGTTGGATATATTATAACAAGAATTTAGATGGTCAATAATTTTGTTGTTGCTGTTGGATATATTATAACAAGAATTTAGATGGTCAATAATTTTGTTGTTGCTGTTGGATATATTATAACAAGAATTTAGATGGTCAATAATTTAGTTGTTGCTGTTGGATATATTATAACAAGAATTTAGATGGTCAATAATTTTGTTGTTGCTGTTGGATATATTATAACAAGAATTTAGATGGTCAATAATTTTGTTGTTGCTGTTGGATATATTATAACAAGAATTTTGATGGTCAATAATTTTGTTGTTGCTGTTGGATATATTGTAACAAGAAAAAAACTTGAAAATGTGTTTGTAACATCATGCTTTATGGGAACAGAGCAAAGGATAGACAGATAAATACTTGGACAGCCTCCGCAGATGGCAGAACCACATGCCTGGCCTGTTACTGATGAACGTAAAAATTGTTGTTCCAAAAATTTGGGCGGGGTCATGACCCATTTTGTTTTGTTTTTTTAAACATTACTAAAAGTTGTTTTTAGTCCTTCGGTTACCAGAGATTACTAAAGATTAGAACCCAAGTCCCATAATAAGCAGGGTAGATGTCCCAACTTTTGACTACCTACGTCTTATTATGTATAACATACCTGATGAAATGATGACTAACTGTGATTGGCAGGTGACCTATTTGAGTGCGAACTAGACCTGGAGGACCCCATGTTATGGCAAGAACAGAGTGAACGCCCACATCTACAAGAGCAGAGTCGTATTGACATCCTGAAGGCTGCAGACTTTATCATCCCAGGACATGGAGCTATGTTCCCGGTGACTCCCACAGCATTCTCCCATACATTTTCTTATCATTATTTCTTTTGCATTATGAATACGTGATACTAGCAGAAATCAAACAACTTTTGAAAAAGGTCAAAAGACACTGCACCAGGGCGTGATGGGATCAGGTTTGGCCACATGAAGGCTTTGAGCGATGTAGATCTGGCAGAGATGGCCGACTGTTTTAAACAGAGTATTAAGAAAGCATCAGTACCGCAGGACTGGGTGCACAGCTATCAAACTCCACTACCAAAAGCTTTTAAGGATCAATCGAAGCTCAGTGGCTTTAGAATCATCACCTTACCTTCTCGAATCAGATCAAATCAAAATCATTATTTATGTGATTATCTGCTTTGCAAAGGGAATTCCTTGACCCCCTTGATAATGCTCATCTATCTATTTGTCTATCTGTATGTGTCTGTCACAGAGCTGTCCTTTCCCAAGTGTCCAGGCATTCTGCAAACATATCCAGACATTCTCCATCTTCTTGCTTTGATAACATCTGCCAGTGATAAACATTTTGCTTTCCTCCTCAATTCTTTTTTTGTGATCTTGCTTGGCCACACTGTTTGTAGGATTCCCCTTTGACGTTCACTTTTTTTGAAAATTCTGTAATTTATGGATGACATTTTCAAGTAATTTATTGTTGTCACTCTACCACCATCAATGTCAACATGATGATGTTGATAGTAAGTCTCTTGAGTAGCTCTCCAGCCCTGCCCAGACTTGTGAACAGCTCGTTATCTTTGTCTGCCTGATGAAGCTCTTATGTATCTGACACAATGACGCTTGCTCTGTCATGTTTATTGTTAATAATCCAATGCTGCCATGTTATGCATTTCAGTGTGATAGTTTTTATTATTATTCTTGTCAACCTTGGTTGTTATCCGTGTTTTCACCTCTTGCTGACTTTCCTCTAGCTGTGAAGTTTTGTACACTCGACCAGCTCATGCCTGATCCATTGAAGATTTGTTCAGGATTTGGGGTCATGGTTTTGTTGTTTGTAAGTGTGTGGAAGGGAGGAAAGTGTGGGGGGGGGGGGGGGGGGGGCATTGATGTATGGATTTTCTTTATTGATCTGGTTTCCATGAGTGACTGAGAATAATATGTATTAGAAAATGTAATTTTCTGGAAAGTAAAGTTGGCTGGCCTGAGGCTGATCTCACCACTTCCATGTGCTGATGGTGTTTCCTTTGAAGTAGGAGAGCAACAGCCTGGTAGGCAATGACTTACAAATAAGCCAGATCTGTAAAATGGATGTACATGCAAAACAACTTCTGGAACATGACCAAAGTCCAGAAGTGGACGAACAACCATAACTTTCCACTAAAGTTTATATCCGTTGAATGTGAAGATGAATAAGCTGATGGTGGTATAAGATGATAATGGTATCACTATATACCCATTGTGACAAATAACTAATGAAAGGTGCTATTTACTACTTTACTAGGGGCCGCGTTAGCGCAGTCGATAAGAGGCTTGCTTTCAAATCCAGCTGCGACTCGCTGCAGCCCACGGTCGGTGTTCGAAACCGGGCGGTTCCCGGGGTTCACCCAGCCTCTAGGAAATGGGTACCAGAGTTGACACTTTATGGTAAATGGAGGATCGTCGCTGTAGCTACAGAGTTACGTGCGAATTATCAGCTGTCCGTACTGGTGGTTTATAACCGTGTTCAATGACGCTGGGTCACATCTCCCGACTTTTTTCACTACTTTACCTTTACAAATTTTTTAAAAATTACTTTGGAAGGCATATTACCTACGTACACTATTTTGACATACATTGCTTACCCACATAGATTTTTCTTTGTTTACTTATGTTAAACGTTTTACCCTTTCTCGACATTCGACAGGTACCTGTGGATTACAAGAAGCAGATGCGTGTGGTCATGTTGACGGAGGAACACATCACAACTCCCGACATGAAATCCTCCCATAGTGAATGTATTATTATTGAAACTGACTAATTTCTTGGTTACCGTTCATGATTAAGCCACAATCAGAATCGTTGAGGTTCTACCTTTCTGAGATAGCTACAGGCTTGGCATTTTTATTCTTTTCTGAGATTACCTGTATCAGTGTTTAGGTATTTATTATCAACTGGGATGTGACATATTGTTTAGATTGCTTTTTGGCTTTTTTTTTTTTTAAACATAAACTGTTTCATTTTCTGTTTTAAATGGTCCAGCTGTTCTACCCTTGGATGTAGATGTACCTGAAAGAAATGATAGCATTTTTAGCTTTTTTTTGGCACAAATATTGTATTAATTTGTTCTGCCAGATTAGCTGGCCATCTGGAACAGTTGAATCTAAACCGTTATATGGGTAGAAGGGTGCATTTGTACTCAAAGTACAGACTATGGGGAAATAAGTTGGTTTCTTAGTCTTGAAAAGTAGCTTGTGTCTTCTGCTGTTTGGAGCTTCACAGTGTAGAGACTTAAGTGTGTTTGAGGAGATGGAGATATCAGTGCTGCTTGGGGGAGGAGGGGGGTGGGAAGACATTAATGTTTCTTGGAGATGGGTATATCCTTGGGGATATTGTGACATTAATGTGCTTAGTATGATAGAATAACTAAAGTAGAACTTTGGGAGAGAACTAAACAGGCTCCAGTGGACCAAGAGGTGGGGAAAAGATGCTGGCATTGGATAGGACACACACTGAGAAAACAGGAGAACAGCATAACTAAAATGTCTTTGCATTGGAACCCACAGGGGCATAGAAATAAAGGAAGGCCAAAAAACACATGGAGAAGAGAGCTGGAGAATGAAGTTAGAAAGATGGGGAGAGCTCCATGCAATGGCGAAGGATAGAACGACTTGGCCTGAGTTGGTTGAGGGCCTATGCTCCATTGGGGGATAGAAAGGCAGAAGAAGAAGAAGAAGAATGTGCTTAGTGACAGAGATTTGAATGAGCTTGAGGGCATGAGGATACTAATGCTGCCAAAGAATGTGGAAACATTAATGCTGGTTAAGGAGATGGAGACATGACAAGCATTAAAGCTGCTTGAATGTTGAATTAAGAACCATCACTCAGGACACTCCCATAAGCATTCTCTCCCCTTCTTCAGCTGCAAGCACAAAGTTCGAATTCCAGAATGCTGCTTGGAAATAGGGTGTGCTTAATGAGATGGAGACTTGAATGCTGCTACAGAGCATAGAGATATAAACAGCAGTTCCTTTCTTTCAATTATCTCCTAATGAGGAACGGCTGGCCATACGGTTAGAATGCAAAGCTCTCAGGTGGGAGACCTGGGTTTGAATCCTCTGTAAGGTTTGGGGTTTTTTCTGTCACGGAAATAATTAAAATCCTCACCTATTTAGTCCCTGGCGACAGCCCTGTTCGTGGGGCTCTGAATCCTCAGGCTTAAAGACTTCCACCCTAACGTCTCGCCTTCACCGCAAAAGTGGTCAGCAAAGGTAGTAATTGGCAGTTTTTGCCGTTATTAGTTTATAAATGATGAAACTTTTGACTGTTGGAGAAATCTTGACTTCTTTATGCTTCTCTAGAAATTATGTACCGCTCTTGGGGATGAATATATGAATATCATATCGGTTCGAAAGACACCACTAAAGATAGGAAATATATTTTGTTTGAAATAGCAGAAGACACTATATATTCCAGTTATATTTCAAGGGATGAACAGGATATTTTCTCAGATAAATAAAATGTACCACTTCAAGTAAGAATGTCTCTGCATGTGCATATAAATATAATCTTTGTTGTTTTCTGAAGAAGACAATTTACACCAAAACTACTTAGTTAAGCTCTTACATTTAGGGCTACTAAAGAATAGCCTTTCTGATCTGATTGTGACTTATTGTTGCTTGTTTTGCTTGTTTGGTTTGTGTTTTATTGGTTTGGCTGCAAGAAATTTTTTATTTATGCAATAATTAACTCTTAGTGTACAGAACATCACTTGAAAAATAATCCTAAATTTACTAATCACAACCTGCAATGATGGCCAATATTTTCAGAGCACCTAGTAGAAAATTGATTTTTGCCATAGTACTGTGTCCACTAATTTGAATGGAGGTAGACACTGAGGCAAACTGAAAAGACAGAGAGTTGGGCAGATCTACAAACACTTGGAGGCACCAACTGGAAAGAGGCCAATCACAAAGATGTATAGAGAAATGTGATATTGGCAGCAGTCAACCACAAGGGCTGAGAATGCTGTAGAAAACGAATCATTCTGGTAATCTGTATGTTGAAGTGAAGAATCCTCCGTGTTTGGTCACTCTGAAGCAGTAAGCTTTAGTTTAGTTTGACCTCTGATGATTCTTTAGTCAACTGCCTGAAATGAGCTGAAAATGAGACAGTTTTTGAGTTTGTAACAGGCTTAAAGAAGAGAAAGGATGAGTACACTACCAGATCATTTAGTGTGATTTAAACCCACCTAGTAGGTGATGGCAGGCGGTTATGTTACCATTTCACCATCTAGAAACATTGAGAACTAAGCATAAATTCTTGCAAATACAGTAGATGGAGGATGAAACTTGTACTGCTGCTGAAGGGAAAAGTTTAGAGCAATTAGGAAAGGGGTAGATGGTGATTCTTAGAAAGATAACATTATTTGATTGACAAATAATAAATCTGCCAGAGTGTGTATCTAAAGAGAGAGAAAGAGACTTGTAGATTAATTATAGCCATCCTTTATTGTGAAGGTGGCACCTGATTGATTGATCGATTGTAGAGTATATACATTTAATAAAGTTACATGTTTCTAATGCTAACTGTGACACAGAATTAGGAATTGTAGATTTATGCTGTTCTGTACTTTAAGTTATGTTGAATTATTTGTTGCTTATCATTTTATGATAGTTGTCTGTTCCTTTAATTTTCTTAGTATATAATGTTTCTGCTGTTGTTGTTTGTATGTTACTGTTGATATTAAGATAATATTCTATATTGACAATGGCATATAATGTTGCTTAATTTTTTTTTTAAATCCTGTCATTTATTAATATTCAGTAAGACTGAGATCATCTTTGATTGTAGTCTAATGTTTGTCTTGTTTTCCCCATTAATGCATCTTTCATGGTAGTCTAATGTTTGTCTGTTGTTTTCCCCATTAGTATCATGGCTGGTGTAGAGATCAAATATTGAAAGCAGAAACAACAGAGTTTACACAACTGTCTCCATCAAATCTACACCAGGTGCTATAATTATGAACATAAGCTTAGTAAAGAAAAGGTGATGGTGATAGGTAGGCAACCAGTAACCATATCAGTAAAAGTAAATGACACTGAGATAAAAGTAAATGACACTGAGATAAAAGTAAATGACACTGAGATAAAATTTAATGACACTGAGATAAAATTTAATGACACTGAGATAAAATTTAATGACACTGAGATAAAATTTAATGACACGGGGATAAACAGTAAATGACACTGGGATAAACAGTAAATGACACAGGGATAAACAGTAAATGACACTGGGATAAACAGTAAATGACACAGGGATAAACAGTAAATGACACTGGGATAAACAGTAAATGACACAGGGATAAACAGTAAATGACACTGGGATAAACAGTAAATGACACTGGGATAACCGTAAATGACACTGGGATAAACAGTAAATGACACTGGGATAAACAGTAAATGACACTGGGATAAACAGTAAATGACACTGGGATAAACAGTAAATGACACTGAGATAACAGTAAATGACACAGGGATAAACAGTAAATGACACAGGGATAAACAGTAAATGACACTGGGATAAACAGTAAATGACACTGAGATACATGTAAATGACACCAAGATAAAACAGACAAGTGAATTTAAAAATGTATTGTCAGTGCTCACGCTCACACAGGAGGGAAAGAAGGGATAGGGAGACAACACATGATGAGCTAAAGAAAACGAGGTCCTGAGACAGCTAACACCTTTTGACACATAGAAGTATACCTGAATAACAAGGCAAATCTGATAACTATTTTTTGGGGAATCAGCTTTATGCTACCAATGTGATTTTGGACCTTTACAAAACCTAATGAACTCAACATCATAACAAAGATGAGATGTCTTAGAAGAGATGCAGGGGTAACAAAAACAGATAGAAGAAAGCTTGGACAGGAAACGGTCATACTGTTTATTAAAGAGCAACAGATTAAATGGTTGGTAATCTGATGAGAATGGCTCAGTATCCGCTGCTGCAGAGAGGCATGCTGGAGAAATACAGTGGACACAGGGCAAGGGAAAAGACCAAGCAGATATACTGGATAACGGCACCAAGAAGTGCCTTAAGGAATGAAAACCAACTTATATAATACATTGGGTAGAGCACACAGAAGATCCTTACATCCCCCAAACCCTTCAGTGATGTAATGGGGGAAGAGAACAAGAAGAAACATTGTGATGTTCTTTTCTTTGGGGGTCACAATAGAATAGTGACTGTGTCACATATAGCTAATTTCTCTTTTCCATCTTTTCTGTTGATATTTCAATGTCCAGTGTCTTGTGTGTATTCTGTATTGTTTTGATCAGTGATCTTGTATCACCTGCAGACTTCCTTATTCTGGTTTTTATTTGCTGCTTTCCCCAAATCGGTTCCGGATCGCTATTTTTATGAAAGGGGGAGAGGGAGTCAACCCACTGCTCCTTAAGAAACATATCGTAAAAGTAAACTAATTAATTATTTACAGAAATTTTGAGTATTGGGCCGAAGAGCACAAATATCACGGTCTAGCTATGAGCCATAACACAGTGTACAGTCACCATTTTAAGATTGACAGCCAAAGAAGTTTGTAGTTCAATTGAAATTTAAAAACCAAATATTTTAATTGCTTCCAGTTTCTTCACCATTTTGTTTATCATTGTCTAGTGTTCACATCTTCTAGTGATGGTGGGGAGTCACACATTTTCTTTTGTAGAGTTTGTACTTGATGGGGTAATTATTGCATTTGCTGTCACGGATTGCCTATTTTGCACTTTTCCCATTATAAATAACATTTAGCAA